GGAGAGAGGAGACTAGGTAAGAAAGGACAGAGATGGTATGTTATCTGTCCCTGAGGGGATGTAGCTGACTGACTCAGATGGGTGTCCTGTTGCAGGGCTTCTGGGATCACCTGACAGGCTCACTCTGGCTGTGGAGAACTGGTAGTCCCAGGAGAAGCTATGGGGAGCAAGGGAGAATGTGGAGAGAGCCAGGGCGCTGCAGTAGTTGGATTCCAGATGTTTGGAAGAGTCAGCCTGATTTCCTGCCAGATTAGAAAGGCAAGAAGAAGAAGAAGAAGCATTGACAATGTGGGGAGGAGTGACGATTGGCCGTTCAGGACTCAGGGAGTTCACAGTATCCCTGCAGTCCTCTGGATGAATGAGTTATGTATGCAGTCACCCAATCTTTCTGTTCTCCCAACTCTGTGTTCTTTCACCAAACTCCAAGGTAGCTAGAAAACAAGCCTGGAAATTCAGATCCCCTAGCATGAAGACCCACTTTTAACCCAGCAGATAAGGCCAGGCTGAGGCAAATGCAAGGCTCCCCGATGAACGTCTTGTGCTCAGAACTTGGGCTGTCTCTCCAGGTGGGTGGGCCAGTCCTCCATAAGTGTGTGAGAAGGACCACTGTTTCACTTCTAACCCTTTTGTATACTATAAAACACTACTTTGATTCAGATATGATACTGTGTGCCTGGAGACCCAATGACTCAGGAAACTGGAAGAGAAGGATTCTAAGTTAGAGGGTAGCCTGGGACCTTAGCCAGACCCTGTTTCAAAACAAGTAAGAAAAGGAGGGACTAGGGCATGGCTTAGTGGCAAAGCACTGGCAGTCTCCCTCCTTGCCATCCTCTGAAAAATTAAAAAAAAAAAAAACCTTTTGTAAAATACAAAATCAGGAACTTGGTTTGATTCACCAGCTCCTTGGGTAGGAAAATCACTGTAAGTTCTGGAGACTCAGACTGCTGAACACATCTCCACCTGGGGAGGCCAGTGCTGGGAGGGGACGAAGTAAGTGTGATGACATTGAGGAACCTCAGGGTGGCAGGCCCTGTCAGAGTTCTCCAGGCCATGCAGTGCAGTGTAGGGAGGAGCAGAGCTGTGGCTCATAGATTCCTTGGCCAGTTTCAGTGCAGGAACAGAGGAAACTGTGGGTGAGGTCCTGAGTACAGTGTGAATCCTGAGACTGGGTGTGTGAACCCCGAGTGTATGAAGCCTTGAGTGAGTTCCTGAGTGTGTGAGCTCCGAGTGTGTGAGGCCCTGAGCGTCTGAACCCGGTTTGTGAATTCTAAAGAAACTGGGCCTTGCATGTGATAACTGGTACAAGGCACCATGGGATGTAAGGGGAGGATGGGTATATGGATGAGTTGGAAGAAAGGGCTTTCTGTGTTAGTCAGGACAAAAGTGGTTTTTATCCCAGCCAGTGTATACACAGCTTATGTGGAGGTGACATCAAAGACCACAGGCACATTCCTGTCTCGGATGGCACTAGGGTCTGCTTATGAAGACCAGCACCCCACTTTGATGGCTGTCGTGCACAGTATGCTAGGAGCCTATGAATGTGGAGTGGGAGAGGTGGACCAGGACACTTGGTGACAGTCGATGGTAGCTGTTGACTCAAGATGGCTTTGTTCAGGTCAAACTGGAACCCAGCCTCCTCATTCAGCTTTGATCTCCTATGGTGTTAGAGATATGTGGAGCTCTATTAGTGTAGGTTTTCTCTAGAGCAGTCAGTGGTTCTCAACTTTCCTAAAGCTGTGACCCTTTAATACAGCTCCTAATGTCGTGGTGACCCCCAACCATAAAATTATTTTCATTGCTATTTCATAACTGGTCTTAGGTGACCCCTGTGAAAGGGTCATGTGATCTCAAAGGGCTCATGACCCACAGGTTGAGAACATACGCTCTAGCTCCTTGGATTCCAAGACTTGAGTGTGACCTTTCTATCTTAAAACACTACTCAAAACAAAACAAATACAACATCCAGGTGTTCAGCTATGCCCAAAGCTGCAAGTAATAACAAAAGGCACCCTCAGTAAATAGGGCTTTCCTTCCCAACTTGGAAGGGGCGGCCTGTAGCCTGGAGATGATGCTGCTGTGGCAGCTATGCCCCTGTCCAGAGTCTCTTCATGGCTTTGAGTGATTCCAGACATCAGCTGGCCTGGGACATGAAAGAACTGGAACAAGCAGCCACATCTGTCCCTCAGATCAGAACAACAAAAGATTCGCCAGAAATCTTCAAATCTGCTCTTGTGTTCCACTGGTGAGACAGTACAGGACCATCCTGACTACAAAGCCACATGGATAGAGAGAATCACTTAAGCCTTCAAAGTGGATGTTAGCAAATACGGATGCTTTAGATAAAAAAAATCAATCATTTACCTTTTTGTCTTTTTTTTCCCTTCCTTCCACATTTTTGTTAATAATAAATAATATTTGGAGGGCTGGAGATGGATGGCTAAGTGGTTAAGAGCCCTTGCTGCTCTCAAAGAGGACTCCGTTCTTCCCTAGTATCCACATGGTGGCTCACAAACTTGTTAACTCTTCTGGCCTCTGCGAGAACCAGCCAGGCTTGTGGTGCAGACATCTGTGCAAGCCCAACTCTATGCATATTACCTTTGTATTCATTCCTCCAAGTGTGGTCAAGGAGGCTCCACAATTCCCTAAGATGTACAGGTTGTGAGGGTGGCCTTGCTCAGTTCCAGCCAGAGACAGACAGCCCAGTCATTGTCATGGGGGTCCTTGCTGTGCTGGCAGTGTATCTCACAGACTGCTTCTGTGCCTTCCAGACCGACCTGGTAAAACCTGTGCACACCTCTCCTGCACCAAATGTAGGCCTGACTTCTAACTGAGCAAAGAGGAAGTGCAGAAAGAGGAAACTGACTTAGAGGAGAGTCAGACACAGGAAGAGGAAAATGTAGACACATGCTTGGTGCAAATGATTTGGTTTGAAAGGAGAACCTTAAAACTTAAAACATTTGGCCAGGTGGTGTGGCGGCTTGCTCCTGTGACCCCAGCACTCTGGAGGCAAAAGCAAGAAGACTTTGGCATCCTCAGTTACTTACATATCAAGGCCAGCCTGGTGATGTGAGACCCCCCGTCTCAAAACAAGCGAACTTACTATGGTGTGAGTGACTAATGTTGCTGAGAAATAAATTTTAAGACACTGTTGATTTTAAAACAGCCAGTCTTGGAAAGTATTTTTAAAGAACACAGCAAATAAAGGCTGCATTTCAGAGGATTTCTCAGTTATCGATGCTATTGAGACAGCAACACACACACACACACACACACACACACACACACACACACACACCTACCTGAAAAGGGACTTGGAATTTTACTGTATTAGGGCTGTGGGTCTGCAAGCAGAAAAGCCCAGCACATCCACACACAGAGATACCTGTCTTCTTCACGAGCTCTAATACGGAAGATATAAATGAAAACAAGAGGTCCTTGTTTAGCAAGACTTGAAGTTTAGTCATTTGACATAGGATAAAAACTAAACCCAGTTCCATCGGCAACAAATAGACTGTCTGTCTAGTCTGCCGCTGTGCTTGCCAGGGCACTGGTACATTTTCCTTACAAATTTTCTTTCCAATTTGATGATCATCTGCAGGGTGAAAAAATGCTTATCAGCCTGTAATTCTAACAGTACAGTTTATTCACTTATATAAACATAACTTTACTCATCTTTCTCCAACTTTGTTACTCATTCCTAGGGACACCAGCCATTTATTATAACCCCACACACCTTCCTGTTTTATCACCCTCGGCCTCCAGGTTTTAATTACAGTTTGTTCGTGGCACAAATCAACTCGTGATCAGCTCAGTGGTCAGATGATCTCTGTGCTAGAACATTTTCCTTCCGCCCGATTTTGGGAAATGTTACGTACTAATTTAAACATTCATAGAAAATGCTTCTTAAACATAAGACCAAAGATCCACATGGTAGCATGTTAGCACAACAGCTCTGTAAACAGACAACAATAACAACGGGAAAGCAATACACTGATATACAACAGACCGACACAATGAAATCTCCCAAAATACATGTTTAATTTATGTATTTTAAACAGGCCAGAAAAAAAAATCCTAAAACAGGCACATTTCCTCTCCTGTTAACAGGATCTCAGTATTTAATTCAGGCTGCCCTGGAAGACCATGTGGTCTACATGGCCAAGTTACGTTCAGCCTGTTTCCTGATTACTTGAAAGTTTTGTTTTGTTTTGGCAGTGCTCGGGATAGAACCCATGCTTTTTTATTTGGTTAAAAAACTAAAAAAAAACCAAAAAACAGCTGGGTGTTGGTGGCGCACGCCTTTAATCCCAGCACTCGGGAGGCAGAGGCAGAGGATCTCTGTGAGTTGAGACCAGCCTGGTCTACAAGCGCTAGTGCCAGGATAGGCTCCAAAGCCACAGGGAAACCCTGTCTCGAAAAACCAAAAAAACAAAAACAAAAACAAAAAAAACCCCTAAAAATCACCAGGTGGTGGTAGCAGGTAGCACCCACCTTTAATCCTAGTACCCGGGAGGCAGAGATAGGCAAATCTTTATGAGTTCGAGGCCAGCCTGGTCTACAGAGAGTTCCAGTACAGCCAGGCCTACATAGAGAAGCCCTGCCTTGGGAAACCAAAACCACAACCACAACAACAAAAATAAAATAAAAACCCTAAAAATCGTCACCAAAAAAACTAAGAGATATTAAAAGTTACCTTTCTCTGTGGAAAAAAAATCAAAGATGAAATTTGTTACCACAATGTAGGTATACACGTGGCTCTTTGTTGTAAGCCATTTTCTCACAGAAAGTGTGTGTATAGAAAAGGTTATTTTGCCGGGCAGTGGTGGTACACACCTTTAGTCCCAGCACTCAGGATGCAGAGGCAGGCGGATCTCTGTGAGTTCGAGGCCAGCCTGGTCTTTAAAGAGAGTTCCAGGACAGTCTCCAAAACCTACAGAGAAATCCTGTCTCACCCCCCTCCAAAAAAAAAGGTTATTTCAAGAGGAGAGATCCTACTCTCATGAGGTCATCAAGGGCTGCTTTTAATGGTGAAATGTCAGGTTAATGGCAGACACACACTTTTGTAATCAAACACACAGGACCCTATTTGCTAGAGACCATGTATTTTGCCTGAATCTCGGTTAAAAATATTTCTTTATTCCTCTGAAACCTCACACAACTAGCTAAATGTTAGCTAGTTTTTTACTTCTCTCACATTTTTCCTATTTGTCACCAAGTTTCGTCCTGGAATTTGAACAGCTTTTGCTCTGACTTTGCGCATGAAAATGAAAGGCATAGTTCAATCCAGTTTCCAATGACATCTAGTGCTCCCCCACACTGCTTCATACGTGGAAGGCAGGGAGTGCTGATAGGGAGACCATAGTAGAAATCAGTAAGATGATTGGGCAAGCTGGAAGAGCAGTTACCAAGGTAAAGAGACCTGCCTATTCCATGTACAGTCTGCTTTTGTTGCTGCTAGGATTGTAACCAAGGCCTATGTATGCTAGGCAGGTACTCCACTTTTGGGTGATCCCTGATGGCCCTATAGACTTTCCTTTGAGCCATTTAATCGAAGGGTTTTGTTTTGCTTTTTAGCTCCATAAACAGAGGTTGGAGCTCACTGAAAACTCAAAGCCACGAGAAGACCAATGAGCCTGTCATTCCTACCAACACCAGTTACCTATAAGCGCAGACACTCACTCTGGCACAGAGTCTGGGCTGTTGAATTGGGCTGATGATTTTCCAAACATCAAGGATTAGAGGCACACAAGCCCTGCCCTGTTTAACAGAGAAAATTTTCTTGTATTTGTTTTCTACTAAAAGAGCAATACTTTCATAACTGTGGCTTATTTTGTGATCATGTCTATGACAGTTTGCTTTCTATAAGTATTTCAATTCTACAATGTGTGGTGGCAGGGGCAAGTTTATCTCTTTGAGTTCAAAGCCAGCTTGGTCTCTGTAGAGAATTCCAGACAAGCCAGGGCTACAAAGTGAGATCCAAAATAACTATCACTGCCCAAATGATAAAGAAGCTAAAATAACCACTTTTTAGTTTAAATTCTGACTCCAGGTCTATGGGTGTAGCTCAATGGTAGTGTTTGTCTAGCATGTGCAAGACTCTGTTAGCTCCTGCACCACACAGACTGACTAACATATAATAAACCTCACAGTAGGAAACCATGGATGAGTAGGCAGAAGTCCTATGTGCCCTTCCTGGGGAGAGTGTGACCACCGCCAAGCCAGGGCACACCTGCAGCATTGGAGTGCCCACCCTTCGTCATTCCTATGGAACCGAACTTTCCTATATTTTAGTTGGTAGAATGAAACCATCTTATATGCAGTTCATATCATTTCTTTGAAAGTGCTGGGGTCTGAGCCCAGGGTCTGATATGCTAGTGCATGCTAGGCAAACACTCTATCAATGAGTGACAGCTGCCGCTTCATAAAGACTTTAAAAGGAAGCGTGGACCATTTTGGTTTTAGAAAATCAAATCGATGAAAGGTATTAAAAGCAGTCATCTTTGTGAAGAAAATACTTCTGGTAAGTCATCCAGTGAACTTTGCATGATAGCTTTTCCATGGACGTAGACATTTGACGTCTCTCATCGTTTTGGTGAAGCTTTCTTTCTCTGGTAGAGCTCAGGGCCGTTGGACTAGCTTACTCTTGCTTCCCTCCTGTTCGCTGAGTTTAAAGTGGGTATAGGTGAGGATGCCGAACAGTGTGCATAAGATGCCAAGCCCCTGGTTAACTGACAGTGGATCCTTAAACAGAATGTATCCTCCGCACAGGGTGATGCAGAACTTGAAATGTCCGAACATGTTGTAGCTGAGTGTTCAGGTAAGGAGGCAACGGAGCAACGAGACAGATGTGAGGGTTACACAGGCCCACACCAATAGTGTAGATACTGCAAAGGCTACCTGTGGCTGGAAACAATGTCATGAAACAAGGACTCAACAGTCACTAGGTATTTAAAGAACAGACACTTTGACTGGGTAGTGGTGGCACACACCTTTAATCCCAGCACTCGGGAGGCAGAGGCAGGTGGATCTATGTGAGCTCGAGGCCAGCCTGGTCTACGGAGAGAGTTCCAGGACAACCTCCAAAGCTACACAGAGAAACCCTGTCTCAAAAAACCAAAAAAAGAGAGAGAGTGAGAGACCCTGTCTTGAAACATCTCCCCCACCCCCCCAAAAAGAACAGACACTTTGTGACATGCTTGGCCATTCAGACTTTCTTCTTTTTAGCAATTTACAGACAGATTTGAAAATTGTGACACTGCATTAAAAATTGTGTGTCTGTCTCTGTGTGTGAGTGTAAGTGTGTGCCCCCATGACTGTGTGCATGAGTGTATGTTTTGTGTGTGTCTGTGTGTGTACATGTTTCTGTGAGTGTGTGTGTGTGACTGTGTATGAGTGCACGTGTCTCTGTGTGTGTGTCTGTGTGCATACATGTGTGTCTGTGTGAGTTTGTGCGTGTGAATATGATGCCTGTGGAGGTCAGAAGAGGATGTTGGATTCCCAGGACTGGGAGTTACAGGCAGTTGTAATCAGTCACTCAATGTGTTAGGAACCAAACTCAGGTCTTTGCAAGAGCAGGGTGTGCTCTTAACTGCTGAGCTGTTTCTCTAGCCCCACCGCCATTTATTCTTCTGGGTTGGCTGTAAACTACATAGACACACACTCCAAAGTGACAAGAGACTGCCTCAAGTATCCCTCATGACCTCTCCAAAGAGGCGACCCTGGGGAGGAAGGACACACAGAGTGAAGTAGAGAGAGACATCTGCACAGCAGTTCATGGTTATGCTATGGAATGGCATTCCTAACAAACTGTCACTGGCAATGGGCTGAGATGTGCCAGACGCCAGGGAGCTTACGAAATGAAAACGTCCAGGATGCCTAAGAAGAGGGGGACAAGGGAGAGAGGAGCCGAGAGGGAGTGAGAACAGAACCAGCTGCTCTGTTAGGAGCTTTTCATAAGCATATCAGAACTGCCACTGCTTCTCACCTTCCCCAATTCACAACTGGAGGCCCAGAGTCTAGTGACTTTGAAAATAGTACTTTATCATTTATGTACGTGTGTGTGTGTGTGTGTGAGTGCACACCAGGCACATGTATGGAGGTCAGAGGATGTGACTCTGTAGGTCATCAGGCTTGGTGGAAGGTCCATGTGTTGAGTCATTTCACCAGACCAACTGTAATTAACCAAGGGGCACAGTTCAAGTGTTGGGAGTCTAAACAAAGGTGGACTTATTTAACTCCAAAGTTCAGGCTATAATCTAATATACTGCCAGCAATTCATTACTGGGCTAAAGTTTTTTCCCAAGTCATTGTTCATCTTTAAAAAAAAAGTCAAACCACACATATATACAACCCTCAGACATTATTCTGACATATTCTACACATAATTATTTTTCTATCTAAACTAATGTTGTGTTGCCCTTCAGATGTATCCTATGAATGTATGTGTTCTTCCTAGAACCACTTTGCCTCAGTTTCCCTGCCTATTAAATGGTAAGATGATCTTGTGTCTTATTAATTATCAAATAATTAATCCCTACTAAACTTATAGTACATAGTAAATTCCATCCTGCTAACTCTAAGTTATTAAGAGTAAGTATAATAACTGCCTGTGCTTGACAGGACCGCCCAGCACTGTAGACACCACTGCCCCTTATTTCTCTGCTGTTTCCTTTGCACCCCAATCTCTCTGCAGTGATGGGAACAATGAGCTGACTGAGCCACCCCACGTCCCTCAGTTTGTAAGTGACCTCAGTGGAACCACACGAGCTCCCACAACACACTTAGATCACAGGAAGTGGTAGACCCGGGCAGAGGTCTGCCTCTGTCTGACCTCTACGCTCAGGCTCTCTGCTTGGTTTCAAAAGCCATGGGGCTGGGCATGGTGATGCAGGCTTGTAATCCCAGCTCTCAGGAGGCTGAAGCAGGACTGGAGGCCAAGGTCATCCTCAGCTCCATAGTAAATCTGAGGCCAGCCTGGGCAATATGCGACTCTTCCATGTACACAAAAGTACCAACCAAAAAGTAGCCCACTCAGCGGCGGCCTTCAGGAGAGCATGGGCATCTCCCAGGATACCTGCTTCTGTTTTGTTTTGTTTTGGTGTGTGTGTGTGTGTGTGTGTGTGTGTGTGTGTGTGTGTGTGTGTGTGTGTAGTTGATCGCTGAGATCCAGGGGATGTGGCTAGGACAGCTATCACAATGCCACAGTGAGATACACCTTATCTCAATTGTGTGCTATCTTCAAAGGAAATGCTTCTAACACTTTAGTTTTTTAGTACTCCCAGCCTTGCTAGGCAGCTCTGGCCTGTCAAAGTCATTTAGGAAAAGGGAAGGCAAATTTAATGACACCCTTCAGAGATCTTTTTAGGAACTAAGACAAAGAGTACAAGCTCCAGTTCTGCCTTCTGCTCCACTCAGGCTTTGCCTCACCCCCAACTCTGGTCAAAACTGTCAGTGACCTTGCTTCGCTGGGTCTAGGACCAACTGCCAATCTTCCTCCTGACACAGAGTTCCCTACCCCTCCTTCTCAGGTGGAGTCACCATCAATCTCCTCTCTCTTCCCCTCTGGGGCTCCTCTTCAGCTCCTCTGCTTAACCCCTCTCCCATCTGTGAACTCTGAAGGTAAAGTGCCCAGGATCCGGTCTTTTCCTCTTTTCTGTGACTTGTTTGCTGGGCAATCTCAGTCACCATCCATCTTTACAATGACTCAGGACCACTGTAGCTGAGGCCTGGTGTCTGAACCTTGCAAATGGAATGTGCTGCCTGCACCTCAGACCTCTTCCCTAGACAGCCACTGCAATATATATGGGGCCTACCTTACTGCTTTGCATTCTCCACATCCAACTGTTCAGGAAACCTGTTGGTGCTATGTGGGAATGTGTTGGGAAGCTCAGGACTTCTCACCAACATATTCACTGCCAGAATATTCGTGTGTGTGTGTGTGTGTGTGTGTGTGTGTGTGTGTGTGTGTGTGTGTGTGTGTGCGCGCATAGGCCAGAAGAGGACATCATATCCCCTAGAGCTGAACTTAAAATTGTGAGCTGCTGGACCACCTCTGCAGCCCTACAAGCTAGTACTTATGAATTAGAAACTGCAGTGGCTGTTTCTGATGGTCTCCCTCCTTCTCACCTTTCCTAGTCCAATTTTCTTCAACCAAAAATGTCTGCAGACATTTTTGACAGTTGGGGTAGGGCTTGGGGTGCTCCTGGCATCTAGTGGCAGAGACATGGCCTGCTGCTGTCCATCTTTCAAGGCCAGCATAGCCACCCCCCCCCCCAAGAAGTCTTGGTCTCAAGGTGGACAGCCTGAGGTGAGAAACCCTGCTCAGCACCACAGGTATCCACAGTGCTTCCATGAGGATGTGGGACCATGGCACATCTCTGCTCCAAGCTACAGTGGCTTCTCATGTCATGCAGTCATAGGTCTTCCCTGGAAGCTCCATGTGATCATCCATTCCCCTGCATTCTGTGTTCACCCTGCTTCGACAGCACAGGTGCCCTTCTCCTCAGACCCCTCATCTGAGATCTCAGTCTACACAGCCCAGGCTGACTTCAAACACATAGCTTGCCTCAGCCTTACAAGTCCTGGGAATACAGGCATGAACCACATCACACCCAGCTTTAAAAAGTCAGTATACTCTTTAAAACATTACTAAACTACCTGTTTTATATGAGGAATTCATTCTTCACATTTGCTTACAAGTAGGGCAAAGTGAAATGCAATGACCAAGAGAATAGCAGGCAGGATGGTGAAAACTGACAGTGGAATTTGACCTTCATCATATAACTTCATTTTTTTAAAATTTGGAATATTAAGAACATGTATTTATTTGGAAGCAATAATATCCATTTCCAAATAAATACAGACATACCCCAAAATCAGGGTATGAAATTACCCTTTGTTACATAAACTGACCACACCTCTACTTTATCACTGTAGATATCTGAAAGCTAACTCAAACCTAAGCAACCACTCCATTACTCATTCAATAAATATCACTTAGACTCACTACTAGCAAGTCATAGTGCTAAGTCAGTTTTTATAAGAGAAAAGGCTACCACTACTTAAGAAAATTCAAACGTATTCCTTTACAAGAAAGCAAACTCATTTCCTTAGTTAATAAATTCCATAGACACTAGTGTGGAAAGACAGTCTTAAAAAAATTAAGGGGTTAGAGTGATGTCTCAGCAGTTAAGACCACTTGCTGCTCTTCCAGAGGACCTGGGTTAGGTTGCCGGAACCCACTTGGAGGTTCACAGCCATCTGTAATCCTAGTTCTCGGGAATCGGTGGCTTCTCTGGCCTCCAAAGGCATTAGGCATGCAGTGTGCACAGACATACATGCAGAAAAACACCCATAATAATGAAATATGACATAAAAGAGTGAAAATGACCCAGTCTACTTAAAAAAGGCGATATAATAATGGTAAACTCAAGGCCGCAAATGGGAAACAAAGCTTATACACATTTGAAGTACACAGGAAGGATACGTGACTGGTGAGGTGTTCCCAATGATCCAATAAATTGATAAGTTCACCATGAAAGCGATGACTCCAGACAGCAGTACCATAAGCTACAAATGAGCCAAGAGAATCATTGTAACCAGGAATGTCTCGTTAGGAATGCAAAAATGCAAACTTCATCCATTTAACAAGACGTCACACGCTGGTAACCCCATCTATATGTATTAAGGTAGATGCAGGGGGATCACTGTAAATTTGAGGCCAGTGGCTTAAGGAGTTCCAGGCCAGTTGGAGCTGCAGAGTTAGAGCATGTCTCAAAACAAGCACATAGGACAAATGAACACACACCCTCCAAAAAAACAGAGTTTAGAAAATTGATTTAGGCGGATCTCTGTGAATTCGAGGCCATCTTGGTCTACAGAGTGAGTTCCAGGACAGCCTCCAAAACAATACAGAGGAACCCTGTCTTAAAAAAAAAAAAAAAAGAAACCCCTTTTTAAAAAAAAAAAAAAAAGAAACCCCTTTTTAAAAAAAAAAAAAAAAGAAAAAAAAGAAAAAGAAAATCATTTTGGGGCCTGGAGAGATGGCTCAGTGGTTAAGAGCACTGCCTGCTCTTCTAAAGGTCCTGAGTTCAATTCCCATAACCACATGGTGGCTCACAACCATCTGTAATGAGATTTGGTGCCGAACAAATAATACAATACACATAATAAAAAAAAAAAAAGAAAATAGTTTTGGAGTTAGGCAATCGTGGCAAATGCCTTTAATCCCATCCCCAGGAGGCAGAGACAGGTAAATCTCTGTGAGTTCAAGGCCAGCCTGGTCAACAGAGCAAGTTCCAGGACAGGCTCCAAAGCCACAGAGATACCCTGTCTTGAAAAACAAAACAAACAAAGAAACTACTTGAAGATAACAAGCATTGTGATGGGGAGATGGCTCAGGGGGGCAAAGCATGAGGCCTGAGTTTAGATACCCAGAACTCAGGCAAGAGCTCGGAGTGGCTGTGTGTCTGTAATCTCAATGCTGGGGAAGTGGAGACAGGAGGATCCCTGGGGCTGGAGAGAGACCCCGCTGTAAAACAAAGGGGGAGAATAACTGATGAAGATACCAGTGTCAATTTCTGGCCTCCGTGTGCAGGTGTATATATCCCACACCCATACATACACAAATCAGGATAACCAAAACTTACGGTATGTTTTATGTGCTCACACATTAATTCTCATCAACGAGCTCAAGGCAGGTGGATAAACAGCACCCCTTTCTTACAGCTGAGAGCACAGGAGGGTAGAGCGAATGAATGGATGGCCAGGACCACACAGCTGGTAAAGAACAGTACTAGTATTTAGACCTGCTTTGTGCTCCTCACCTACTCTGCTTGGCTACTTCTCCATTAGACAGGAAGTTTACAGCTCAGGCAATGGTTCCTGAGAGCTACATCATTGGTGGGCAACCAGACAATAGGTTCTACTCTCAAGGCAAGAGATCAGCACCAAAAACTGGTAATTCGACATTCTTAGGTTTCTATCCAATAAGTACGTAGTATTTATATGACATGAGGCCATTGTTTTATAATACATTGTACAAATATAAAATTAAAATACAATGAAGCTGGGCGTTGGTGGCACACACCTTTAATCCCAGCATTCGGGAGGCAGAGGCAGGCGGATCTCTGTGAGTTCGAGGCCAGCCTGGTCTCCAGAGCGAGTGCCAGGATAGGCTCCAAAGCTAAACAGAGAAAACCTGGCTCAAAAAACCAAAAGGAAAAAAAAAAAAGGAAAAAAAAATTAAAATACAATGCCCAAATTATGTGTGGACTCTAGTTTGGCAGGGACTGAATGGTAACCGGGCACTGGAAAGTATGAACTGTAACCTGGTTTGCCGCTGTCCAGCTGTTCCAAGCTAGGCCAGTCCCTTCATCTTCCTGTGCCTGTTTCCTCATCTGAAGATAATGCTTACTCGGCTTCCTTACAGAGCAAACAAGGGGTTAGATGGGAGAACAGAATTGACATTGTGCTCTAAAACCCAAAAACCGCCTAAGGAAAGAAATGTGCCTACTGCAGTTTCTTAGGCACCAAAACAATCAGGACTTACCAAAGCAGAAACTGACCAGGGGCCAAATATTCCTCCCTCTCCAAACACTGGCTCAAAGAAGGGCACAGCCACCAGCAGCATGGCAGAGGACATGGGAGCCTGGTAGTACAGCAGCTGCATGGAATTCACTTGTAGTTCATGCTGCTTGGCTCCCACCCACTGAAAATCAGGAGACAAGATAAGTTAGGGACAGAGAGAAGCATCATTCAGTCAAAGCCATACAGCATCAGGCTAGGGGAAGATGACACACCTCATTACCCTAAAGGTTTTCAACAGTGGGGAGACATGAGTGACCATGAGCACCTCAGATACAGGAGCTCTGTGAGCCTGGTATGTGACATGTTCTAAGTGGACTCCCACTTGTGGCTTTAAAGGTACGTGGACTTCGGAGCCACTTAAAACCCAATCAATGGCAGAAGACATTTTTCCTCTCCAGAGAACTCTTCTGTGGGTCAGGTTTTCCACATGCCACCAACATAACTGGGCATAACAGAGTAAACAGAAACCCTAAACACTGTCTCATTCAGTGAAAACCTCAAAATCTCATATCCCGTGTCCTCAAAATACTTCACAGATATGAAGAGCCGACAGTTTGAAGCAGATCTGGCAGAAACAGCCTGGCTTTTGAACCACCTCTGCAGACCCATTTCCTGAGTCTAGGTATCTGTTACATGAAGTAAGTCTATAGGAATCCAGTAAGACCCAAATGGAGAAACAGGAAATCTGAACCACACTTCTGCCAGCCTTCACTGGAGTCCTCTGAGAATATAAAGGACAAAGAAGGGATTCTTCCCCCGCCTGCTTATACGAGTGGCACGGTGAGCAAAAACAGGAAGGCTGCCGATAGTGCAGGCTCACCTTCCCACCCTGTCTGCCATACTCTTCACACTTTTCTTTTTCCCTTTTGTACCCTCCACTGCCACTGGAGCCATTGCTCTTAAATATAAGGTTTGGCAAAGCCTTTTCCCAATTTTTTGCTGGTGTCTGCAGAGTAAAGGCATTTCCTGATTGGCAGCAAGACTTTACCATCCAGTTCTAGCCACTTAGCATCATGCTCCCACAACACACCTATAGTCTAGCCTCACTAAACACATCAAATGCTCTCCCCAAATGCTCTGTGCTTTCACACATATTAAAGGATAAGCCTCAATACTTCACAGCCAAGCAAACATCTGTGCCTCCAACTGAAACGAACTCTCCCTCTGGTCTAGCCTAGCCATTCTGAGTGCAAAACTGCCATTTCTGCCTCGGTGCTCCTCAAGACCTTCCTTGGCATGGAGGGATACTACCGAGGCTGGCTATGGACTGCCAAGTCTGAATGCATGTATTGAAGGTTAGGGTTACAGTTGCTTTTCCTTATCATGGGAGCATAAAGATGTCTGTCAAACAAACAAACCCACCATTTCTCCAGCTAAGAGCTGAAGATACTTCTTTCACCTTCTCTTAATGTTCCCAGCTGTACCCGAACAAACTTAGAAACCAAATAGGATATGAGAGGCAAATATAATACTGTTTAAAAGATCCCCTCTCTCTCTCTCTCTCTCTCTCTCTCTCTCTCTCTCTCTCTCTCTCTCTCTTTAAATGGGAGAGCTCAAACACAGTCCCCCCACTACCAAAAATTATGCAGTCAGGTTTCCAGAATTTAGGGAAATCGCAGGGGTTAGCACATCTGGAGTGCAATGTATAAGCCTCATCCTGGGAAAACCACCTTCGTGATCATGCTATCTCCTAAAAGGCATCTGTGTGTGTGTGTGTGTGTGTGTGTGTGTGTGTGTGTGTGTGTATTGGGGGGGGTGTCTACCTATTCTGTCCTAGTACCTTTACTGTTTATTGTGACAGAACCTTTGCCCATTGGTCTGCAGTCATTTCTTGATCAGCCTTGTAAACATCAGGGATACAGAACCTTTTGATTCTAATCTACAGTGAGTTTGAAACCTTCTGGAACAAAAATGGCAAAAAAAAAAAAAAAAGTAATTGTTGTGAGCTGGAATTATGTATAGGGAGTAAAAAAAAACCTCTAATATTTAACAAGTAGACCAGGTGTGGTAACACATCCTTTAATCCCAGCACTTGGAAGGCAGGCAGATCTCCATGAGTTTCAGGCAAGCCAGAGTAACATAGTCCTGTCTCAAAACAAAAAACAAAACACAACAAAAAGTAAAAAAAGAGGATCAATGGGTAAAGGTCTCTGCTGCCAAACCTGACTGTCGAAGTTCAATCCTAGGGACCCACATGCTGGGAGAGAATAGACTCTGGCCTCTGAACGTTGCCCTCTGACCTCTATCTGCACATGGTGACTGGTATGTGCATGCACACATGTACTAGTGCATATAAACAAAATAAGTATAAAAAGCAAAAGGTGGGCTGGAGAGATGGCTCAGAGGTTAAAAGCATTGGCTGCTCTTCCAGAGGTCCTGAGTTCAAGTCCCAGTACCCACATGGTGGCTCACAACCATCTATAATGAGATCTGGTGTCTTCTTCTGGTGTTCAGGCAGAACCAATGTATACATAACAAATACATAAAATTAAAAAAAAAAGTAAAAGGTAGGAGAGCTGGGGTTGTAGCTGAGTGGTGGATTATTTGCCTAGTGTGTGAAAGGTCTTGGGTTCTTCCCCCAGGACAACATCCTAGAAGTTTTGGTAGTTGCTGAAGTTGTTAGCTGACTGGGTCAGTTGTAGCACAGTATTTAAGTTTGCTTAGAATTCAACAAGGCTGTGGGTCCAATCCTCAGCACCCCACCCCCAGGAATAGTAGATGTTTCTGGGAAATCATTACCAGCAAAGAGTAAGGTGGTAGGGTGTAGTACTGAACAAACATTCTAACTAGAATGCCTACCTTTATAACCTGTGGATACTTGTGACAGAGTTGTTGTAACATTTGCTATATTTGGCTTTGATTCCCCATGCAGGCACACCCAGAATTTCCAGACCAAGATTTTCAGTATAGAGAGAATACTGTTTCACTGTTTACTGTTATTTATTTCTCACCACTATACAGGACCCAAGAAGCAGCTTGTTGGGAATTTATGGTAATGAAGTGACTCCATGAAAAAAGTTTAACTGTATCCTGGCTACAGGCAAGGCACTGTTTGTACAAAAGGTTAAAAACCTAGAAACCACTTTATTTACCTCAACAAATTACAAAAGCCAGAGTTGTAACACCAACACTTCTTCTGAGTTTTAAAGTTTTTACATCTGATTTTTTTTTTTCTTGTTCAAACGTCTGGAAATGTATGCACTTCTTAAGAGCAACTTGTCATTTACTCTGTTGATTATATAAAATATAAAATAAAATATAATCAACAAACTTATGAAGCAAAGCCTTATTGCTCATTTTGTAAAGACTTCCCATAAAACAAAACAAAGCAAAAAAACCCAAAAAGCAAACTTGCCCCAAACTCTGTTAAGTATGGGTATCGTGCACTTACAAACAGGCATTTGGTGAGCATCACACCCCCAAGTTTTTCTGTCTCCTCTTCACCAGGAGTTACACAACTTATCAATTAGGCTTTCTTCCCAACAGTTTATTGTCTCTATACTGTATTTTCTAAACCTTGGGTTACAGCTTCAAAATTTACGAAATCTGCTAAAAAGACACATAAAGAAAAAAAAATTACCAACCACTTGATAAAGGGATGTAACTAACACACCAAGGGCAGCAAACACCATTCCAAGAGAATGAAACTTCACATCGTAATAAGAATTTAGGATTACACCTACAGTTATAGGGATCTGTAAAGAAAAAGAGCAAATGCTGTTGAGATTAAATTCAAGAACAGTTTCTTACAAAACTAATGAAACACATCTCTGGAGAACACTGAACTGTATTTTTTCTTCGTTTGGGAAAACTGCTAATACCATATAAAATAGTGTAATCCTCTGCAGACATACAACTCTGTATCTGGGAGAAAATAATGAATCCATGCATCGGGCTTTTTTTTTTTTTGGTTTTTCAAGACAGGGTTACTCTGTGTAGCTTTGGAGCCTATCCTGGCACTCGCTCTGGAGACCAGGCTGGCCTCCAACTCACAGAGACCCACCTGCCTCTGCCTCTGGAGTGCTGGGATTAAAGGCGTGCGCCACCAACGCCCAGAGCATCGGGCTTTTTAAGGAAATACTATGCGCATTTCCAGGTAAGTAAATGGATCGCCAAACTAGTACTTAACATATGAACATAAATATGTAAGAAATAAATACTAATAAACACTAAACACAACTGCTAACGTTGTTTTAATGACTCTTTTATTTAGACACAAGCACTCCCAACAGTATGCCGATGAATGCATATCCTGAGATATTTTATGCTAAACCATTTCATGGTTATCATACGTGGTTCTATTCCCCCGGGGTAGGAATTTTTTTCCTTTCCAGGTTAAGCTTTCGCAGGTACTCTGACACTTTCAACAGTACCATCTAAGTCGGCTTCCCCCCTCCCCCGCCCCGCCCGTCACCAATCACAGCATTTAATTTCCATCATATAGCAGTTCTAAAAACCACAGCAACACACCCTTTTATTAAGAGCCAGCTGAGTGCCAAAATGGCTTTTTCCACCCCTCTCCAAAATAAGCCGGACGGTGACTCTCTTATAGACTCGTGTGTGGAATCAAGAAGATGGTAATTAGCCGCCAGCATGCCAGGCTATAAGCAAGGTGCATTCAATTTTCCCGGGGAATAGAAGCACGTATGATAACCAAGACAATCCGGTGGGTGGCCAGGGACGCGCTCGCTCGTCCAGCTACTCACCAGCGTGAGCTGTATTCGGATGGAGAAGCTCTTCTGGTACCAGAAGGTCTGGATGGCTATGATCACCGGCGTAGTCATGGCCTTGGCCAGCTGATAGGTGCCTATGGTGTTGTTCTGTAGAGAAAGGTTGGTGAAGACCACAAAGCCACAGAAGCTGAGGGCCAGGAGGAGGATCTTGGAGAGCGGCAGACTTTTGGGGGCAAAGATGTCCATTTTCTGGCAGATGTATAAGCCCAGCCAGGTGACCACGAAGTGCACCAGGGTCAGGCTCATATTGGGGAAGCCGTGGTGTACATAGATCCATTTGTTAAGGAACACGATGCAGATGGACACCAGCAAGTTGAACAGGAGCCCGGCGGCGATGCGCCCGTTGCCCCGGACCCGGTC